AAGTTTAATCCCACTAGGACCGCACAACGAGCAATAAATACCAGGTGACGCAAAGTGCCACCTTTCGGATGAGAATCACCCGATCGCAAGTCACAAAAACCACGTTCAACAGTTACCTCTAGTTAATAGTCTATCTCCTGCCACGTCTTCTGAATCGTGTCTAGATTTACAGTTACAATTGCAGCAGCGACTCAGTGTAATGGAGGTTCCTTGTCTTCTAAGCATTGTTTTAAACCTCAAGAATACATATGGTCCCAAAGCTCTAAAATTCTCTGAAGATTTTAAGATGCTACACTCGTATATTAATTAAATTATTCTTTTCTTTTGAAAGCAAAGTACAAAATTCCGGCAGTCATTTTTATATACCCCTGTATATCTAATTCTTTCATCAGCTTTGGAGTTCGCATACAATCAAGCGCCTGTATCCATGCAAGGCATCTTGACAGGACTGTTTCTAGCTGCCTCTGGAGTAGGGAACTGGGTGTCTACTGCAATTCTGTCTATTGTTCAGGCTGCCACGGAAGAACGTAAGTCACTTTTGGAAGATAGCAACACATGTATAGTTTTATTATATGACATAAAGATTCAACTAATATCCTATTTAAAATCTTAACTAAAAGATAAACATAAAATGGACCTAACAATGCATTCAATTTTTATATGACTGTAAATATACAACCTAAAATTAAACACTAAATTTTCTAAATAATTAAAACTATAGTCACATGTAAGGTTGTGGGTTAGCTCCCTGGTGGGGCCAGACTTTTTCAAAAAATGACCTTGACTCATAGGTCGACCTAGCCTTGAGTGGGTACCGGGTGCAGGGCCGGGAAGTAAAGGCGGCCGAGGTGATGCTGACCACATCACCCATCTTGTGCCGATTGGTCTATACAAATATATGTCTAGACCTATATGCCCTATACACCTAAAGGCGGGGGAAATGGACCTTTGCTTTACTGTTGTAGTTACATGCAGAAAATAATCAACCAAGGAGACCGTGGCTATAGATTTTACCAAGTTTTAAAATAGGATGAATACCATCGTCAAAGTATGTTAACCACATGCTTAAAAGGACATGATTGAGAGCACTTTATCCCCACTTCTCTGCTCGGCTCTCTCTCTATCGTAGTTGGCTAAACCGGATTACGCAGAGACCGGGTGAAGAACTCCTTGTGGTCCGGGTTCAATCCCAGGGGTAGGCAGGAAAGCCACATTTTCTCCCAGATTTACTGTATTTACAATGGAATCAAAGCCGAAAGGTTGCGATATCCATAATACCGAGCCAAAGGGTTAACAACTCATGGCTTCTGGATACTAAAACAAAACAAACAAATCCCCACTTCTCTTAACAGTAAATGAGAGCCACACACTATACTTTTCTCTAAAGGTTTAAATCCTTTATCGTCTTTCGAAGAAATATGGTGTGTGGTTCTTTCTATTACAAAAACAACTTTTAACGCTGACAACATATAATTGGTATAAAAGAATTTTTAAAATTCTTTATGGATATATTTCTGAAAATTTTATACACACACACACAGAGAGAGAGAGAGAGAGAGAGAGAGAGAGAGAGAGAGAGAGAGAGAGAGAGAGAGAGAGAGGCAGAGAGAGGCAGAGATGCAGACAAAGCAGAGACAAAGAGGAACAACAATATGCTCCATTTTTCATGTTACCTTTCATTCGGATTAAACAAGGCAGGCCTAGTGAGCGATCATAATCAATTGGGAAACACATGGTCTCCACAATACTGCCTAGGCTTTGTGCTATAGAGAAAATTACTTCACTCCTGGCCTCAGTTGGTCTCGCCAACAAATCGAGAGGCAGTATCTGAGGGTTATAAGTCCTTGTCAACTGGCGTAGGTGTGAGCGCCACTGAACAGCTACCGTACCGCTTCAAGCTGGGCAGCCTTTAGTCAGTCCGCCACAGCATGTGTACCCCACTGGGGCTTGGAGCTATGACACAAATCTGTCCTGGAATGGACCCCCCCCCCCCCCCCCCCCCCAAAAAAAAAAAAAAAACAGACGAGCATTAGTAAACAACAAATGAACTACATTTTATCAAACATTAGACACCTCAAAATGAAGAATTCAAATGTATGTATGAGCATTCAAACAAAGTAGAAACAAGATCTTTAAAACATTTCAGAATTAACTTTAACTGTGTGAGATCAGACTTGGATGATTGATATTGTGTCTATATCCTTGTTTTGTAGATCCTTGGTGGTGTGACGAAATCAACGAGTGCCACATGGAGTACCTAATGTTTCTGCTGGGTGGGCTGATGTTTGTCAACTTCCTCTTCTTCTGTTTGATATCCCATTTTTACACCTACCAAGACCCTGCTAAGTTCGAGGAGACCATTCTTGTTGAAAACGGTGATGTGACAAGCCTAGTGAAAGACGATTCAGCGAAAGTTATTAATTTAAGAAACCCTTCTAGACTGGGAAGTCTAGGCTCAGAGGAGACAAGCGGGAGACGATACAAGGAGTCGGCTAGCTAATAATTGTTTTCATTTGTTCAATCATTTAAAGCATGTAAGCGGATCATGTGGTTAGTCTAAGACTTCCATGGTTAAATATACAGTGTAACAGCTTGCTATGTGGTTTGTGTGTCAGAGAGAGAGAGAGAGAGAGAGAGAGAGAGAGAGAACGAACGAACGAACGAACAAATTGGGCACGCAGGCCCGTCTTACATTCGGCCCTTCCAGTCAACTATCTTTCGCACAGCAGTTGTATTTTACTAATAAAGCATGTTATGATCATATGATGATATGCATATAATGAATATTATAAAAGAACACAAAAGCATGAGTTGTAAAGTGCATGCAAAAACCCGCGCGTGCATACATACACCCACATACACACGCTCACCCACTCACTCACACACACATACATGCATGCATACGTTACATACACACAGGCATACATACATACACACATACATACAAACATGCATACAGGCATACACACAGGCATACATACATACGCACAAACATACATACATACAGGCATACATACATACATACATACATACATACATACATACATACATACATACATACATACATACATACATACATACATACATACATACATACATACATACATACATACATACATACATACATACATACATACATACATACATACATACATACATACATACATACATACATACATACATACATACATACATACATACATACATACATACATACATACATACATACATACATACACACATTCATACATACATACGTAATACAGGCATACATACATACAAACATACAGTCATAAATACAGTCATGCATGGAGACACACACATGCACATACGGACACTCCCACAGAGATACACACAGGAGAGAGAGGGGGAAAGAGATGTAAATACTTATTCATGAGTGTCATTTTCCCGATATTTTAATACTGTACACATAGCATTCCTAGTGTTGATGACAATATACATAGAAACACGTAAGAATACAATTTTTTTTTATTATTTGTATCTGCAGTTTAAACCAATATATTACATAAAAGCTGCGGCGCTCATACTAAAAACAGTCAACATAAAATATAAATTGGTATTCAGCAAAAGGTCAGATGCACGTTATACTACAAATGTTTCGACAAAAATCATCTTTCAAAGGAGAATAAGTTTTGTCGAAATGTCAGCTGTGGGTTGGTGTCTTTTAGTAAGCCAAGTTTCCAAGTATATTTTGGGTTCCTTCTCTTTCTTATTCAAATTCCTGCACTTTTATTTGAATTGCATTCTCGGCAGTGCTGAAGAGAATCAAAAGATGATGTGTTTGTTATACATAAAGTGCAATATTCTAACATTGTAAATATCCGTAGCATAACACGTAACTTTATTATTTCTTCTTCTTCTTCACGTTCTCTGGCTGTAAACTCTGGCGGAAAGTTCTGGTTGTTCGTCCACTTCTAGACTGCAGCCCTGTTTAAGAACCTGAGTGTTGCGTGTGCATCCGTTTGACAGATCTCATTTGTGTGCATACTGCTGGTTCCTTGCCTGTCAGACAGATGCACTCTGACTTGGAAGAAAGCTCCCAATTAGTCGAATCTTACGACATGCTTTTGGGTAGGCAGTGGCTCTATTCTTGTTTTCCCTATGATAGGGCCTCGGAACCCACACGGGAAACTTTATCATTTATAATCCATTACAACTGCCCTGCAAAGATTTTTTTTAAAATATCATTCAAAATACCATTTTTGTCCATAAATCATTTGTGAGAACACCTTCACAGAATAGACATATCATTTTTGTGTTCATAAATTTATTCAGTATAATAAATATAATTTTCAATGGCTGATTCTACCAGCGAAACTAGGCTCCGAGTGGCAAAACGAAATTAAATTTGTGTATTTCGTGTTTTTTAATTGTCTCAGTTGTGGGATAGTATAACATGGCTAAGTCCGCATAATATATTTATCCAGTAAGAAGAAATAGAACGAAATTAAGTATGACACTTTTATTATTAATATCTATTAAATGTAATGAATAACAATGGTCAATTTATAAATTGATTCAGAGGGCAATAAATGTCTTTGTGTGTGTGTGTGTGTGTGTGTGTGTGTGTGTGTGATTATTATTGTCTAATTTCCGCTCACGCACGCGCGCGCACACACACACACACACACACACATACACACAAACACACACACACACACAAAGTTAATCTTTCAGATGGCTCAAATTTGTGTATTTGTATTTATGTTAGCAACCATCTATTTACCTCAACTTCATTAATTGAGTTCGTATATGATAATGCGTGTAATTATTTATAATGTGTGTTGTATCGTAGTCTGATTCTGTTTCCACTGTAACTGTTCACTGATTATTTGAAGGTAGGGTGGTTGAGTGCTCTATTGATGGCTGCAGCTATTATCATTCCATGCGAAGAAACACAGAGCGGGCGATTAATTAAAGCTTTAGTGTTTTATTTTATGCTTTCACAAATGAAGTCACTGCACATTGGTCATTTCCATATGTGTTCAGTCTTTCGATGCAGCAGCCAATCCGAAGTACCTCAACTGATTGTTCCTATGAGAAGTTGGTTGTAGTGTCTCTTGTCTTACCGTTGAAGATGGCATATAGTTCTTCACCAAGCTTTACTATCAGGTAACACAATAGTGTTAGCGTCGGCGATTTATTAAGATCCCCTAACCTAGTCCTTATATCATTGATGATATCAAAAATGTTTATGCTTCTGCCCGTTTCCATTGATGCATTACTTGTCAACTGGTGGGCTCTTTTATTACCTTTATCTCCTGCATGCATTTTTACTCCTGCTGTTGTCTAGGGGCTAGACGTTCTGAAGGTCTTGGGTTCGATTCCGAAAAGAGCAGTACTTTTTTTTTTTTTTTTTTTTTTTTTTTTAAATTATCTAGCTCCCTGGTGGACCCAACTTTAAATAGCTGGCGTAAAGTTGACCACACCACCAACCGATTGGTCTATAAAATATAGGTTCTGCAATATATGCGCAATGCGTTTGAAGGCGTGGGAAAAGGTCCTGTTTTTAACTCAGCTAAGCGGCTGCGTCTGGTCGTCTCTACTAAGAGAAAATGAACCCTTTTCCATTCCTGCAGGGGTATTGGGCATAAAGTGCTAGAGTTATATTTTATAGACCAATCGGCACTCTTTCATTTGATCAACATCACGTCGACCGCCTTCATTTCTCAGGACTTTGACTGATACCCATATAAGGCTGACTGGGTCGAACAGGTATCAGCGTGAACACATTAGGAAACATACTTAAGAGAAGATTTGAGCACTTTTGGGATGGGACCGACGTGAAATGCTGTACACACTAGAGCACGCCGAGGTGAAAGTCGACAGACTGGTCGTATCTACACTGGTTACTGGAGGATGTAGAATGGACAAGGCAGATATACTGAATGCGCTGCGTTTCAGTGAAGTCCATTCAAGGTAGCCAGAGTCAATGAACCCACTTCTGTATATGGGTATTACACGAGGACATGCATGCAGAATGTGGTAAGGGGCAAATAAAGAAGGCATGTCTTTCAACATACAGGGTGAGGGAAGTACGGAGACAATAAGATGGCTGTTGCATCGCCGGACTAAGCACGAATGGCTCGGACCCATGTGCTAGAATATCGACACGGATAACATGTAACAAGAAATAAAGATGGTATGTAAATGATTAACAGCAAAGTGCAAGAGAAAAGTATTACTGTTAAACTGCAGCATTTTTGAGAAAAGAAAAGCTTCCACCAAGACGTATAGGCAGTTACCTATCAGGGAAAGATAGCTGATTAAATGCAGCCACATTTGCTTTAAACATATATAATGGGTTCTAGCGAAGACAAGAGACGGTGATGATGGAATTTGACCTTGACTATGCCTACTAAAGTCAGATAGGAAATATTAATGTTTGTGCTCATCGATGAAAGGGTCCTCTCCCTTGGCTGGTGAACTAAATAGCAGCTGTCCTACATTCACGCATGGCTGCTCTTCCCCTGCGTACATTAGGTTGTTGCGTATCCTTTACAGGACGTTGCAGAACCAACCCTAACAGCCCCTGGCTGTTGTGTGGTTTCTCTAGGCAAATTACGTCCAGTAGTTTGCCATTGCTTGCTGGACGGTCGGCTTTCTTGATACCACTGTCGAAACCAACGCAAGGCGCATTGCCCGCAGCTGGGATCGAACCCGGCATCCCGGCATTACGAAGCGAAGTGTTCGCATCGACTTAGCCACAGAGCCGACCCTGCGTACATAAAACTCAGAAATGTGCAGTACCTCCCCCAGACTATCCCAGGGTTCTGTAATATGTACACAAGCATCACTGCAAAACATGAAGCACCCGGGCTGGAAGGATATTGACATTTGGAGGTAATGTTCTGCATACAGATAGGGCAGCCATAGGCATTACACAGCCCAAGAGCTACATGCAACATTAGACAAAGTGACTGACAGTAATATTTTCTGTCATCGACCCAGTAAAGGCGGCTGTTTTATGGTACTCTCTTAACAGTAGAATATTAAGTGGTAATGTCCTCAGTCTCAAAATTGTTTATAGAAAGATCAAAAAAGGAAGTTAGCGAGGTATCGGGAATCACTTTCGATAGAAGCCTATTTTTCAGGGATCTTGTGGAGGTAGCTGCAGCAAAATCCCAAAAAGGACTCAATGCATACAATTATTATAGCGATGGACATGGAACAAAGAATGCTGTTCACAATGTTACAGCACTCGTTCCTGATAACTACCGTATCAAAGCTAATGAATCCTAAACGTATACAGAATGAAGCCATGCATGTTTTTCTGTAATGTACAAGAGATACCCCGGTAGCATGTATGCTATATATACATGCAAAGCCGACTAATCAAGATCAATCATCAATCCACTTCGCTGACAGCCTTTGCCCGAGCAACACGTTGAACGCGCAAGCCCGCCTCGCCTGAACACGTTGCCCCGCTAACTATCCATTCGTTGCCTGATTTTCGATAACCAGCTACTGGACAGAATC